TGTGCTTGCCTAGCACAAATGAGGTCCTGGGTTTGATTCTCCCCAACAAAGCAAGAAAAAAAAATTCAGGTAATGTGCCCAGAGCATCTTCCTCAGAGATCACTGGCTCATTCCTCTATTCTGATCACACTTCTGCTCCAGGACTGTCTTCTGCCTTTTGGGACCCCCCTCCGTCCATGGTCTTTGCCCTCCAGGACATGCATGGTTAGTTGAAAATTAAGATGCACCCAGAAAAATATTGGAAAATTCCCTTTTCCAAGAGCTGCAGGCGGCTGTCTGTGAAATCCGTGAAGCCAGAGCCAGGCAGCCTGGCAAGTGCACTGGGGCCAGCGCTAAAGGACCATTCAGTTTCCATAGCAACGCGCCTCCCTTCCATGAGGATCCTGGCATGCCTCCCTCCTGCTCAGACTTTCCAGAATGAATTGATGTTCGTGACTATAGGTGTTTCTCTTTGATCCTGCAAAGAAGAAAAACACCTTCATTTAAAACAAAACAAAACAAAACTCCTGACTGTGGCTAGGATGCTGCATTGTACCAGTCAGACTTCCCTTTCCACAATTCCATGTCATCTCTCCATTTCCTTCCTCTTGCTGGCCTTCTCCATCATTTCGGAAAAATAGATTCTTTGACAGAAAACACAGATTGCAACTCCATCATCCTAAAACTGGCTGTGGTGAGGGGACTTTAAAGTAGGAGTTCCCAAGGTGGGCTGGCCTGGCCTGGGGGCTACGTGAGGATCAGAAAGCCAAGGATAAGACTCTCTGCCTGTGATGGCTCCCTGTGCAGTGTCACAGGCTCTGCCATTTTGCTGTTGGGAGTTGGTTTCTTAGCTTAGCCATTACTTTCCTGGCATTATTCTCTTGAGACCGTTCCTGGAAGGGGCTGTACACTAGGTTGCTAGTGCAGAGAAAACGTGGGGAAGACAGGATACAGAGGGAAGAGTGTAGAAAACCCTTTGCCTCACAATGAGCCTTCTGCAAGATACTGCAGAGGCTTGTCTTTCTCTCTCTATCTCTCTCTCTCTCTCTCACTCTCTCTCACACACACACACACACACACACACACACGTGACAATTACAATGCAATGAACTCACTGAATAGGACTGTTTTTTCTGAAACACCTGCCCTCAATCCTGGTGGAAGACCTTTGAAATGCAGGCCCTATAGTGACTAAAAGCTCCTCTACCTGTGTCCCAAAGGCCATTTCCTTAGTTACCCCGACAGTTTCCATCGTCTAAGCCTAGTTTTCCTTCCGTTAATGTGTAAGCACCAGAAGCTAGCATCACTTTGTTAATCAAAGTGTGTGCCAGTGAATGTGCTCGTCTTCCCAGTAGTTCAATGTTGCCCTTGCTCCTAAGATGGGAAAACTCTGTTACCACTGTTATATCCGAAATGTTTCTCAGTCCTAGTCCAGCAGAATTTAGTAGGTGATGTGTAGAACCTTATGTAGAACATAAAGTTCTGTCCCTGATTATGGTCCTTCGATATTGGTGACATGTCAAGCAGCAACAGAAAAAATACTAAGTTTCACTTAGTATTAGTGTAATAGCCTGGAATCATGTCCATGTCACTCACTGATGAAAGACTGAGTGTAATCCTCAGGATTACCAGGGAAACAGAACCTGTAACACATGTACACATACAGGAAGAGATTTAAGGAGTTCCGATGGGGGGCGGTGTCATCTCTTTTTCCAAGCTGGAGGCTCAGGGCAGAGTTGCAGATTGAGTCCAAAGGTAATCTGCTAGAGAATTCTTTGGTCTGGATGAGGTTGACCTTTAGTCCTGTTTAGGCCTTCTACTGATTAGATGAGGCTTGCCAACATCATGGAGGGCAGAACTCACGAGTTCTCAGATTTAAACACCCTTGTGGAAATGTCTAGAATAATGTTTGCTCAAGCTTTTGAGCACCATGGCCTAATCAAAATGGCATATAAAATTAATAATCACAGTGGTTCACCAAGGGCTGTGTTGAGCAAAGGCTGACCTGGTCAAACCCTGCCTCAGCCCCTGTGTCTCACTGTTCTTTGCCCTGGGTCCTTATTTCCCTTCCAATGTGTTATCTTCCCTCCCTAGATCCAGGTACTTTTCTTCTCTGACCTTGTCCATGATCCTACCTCTTATCCCTCTAAAAAGCTCTCTAGCCTTTAGAAAATGACATTAGTCATTTACACTTTAGGATAAATTTAAAGCATTCTGCTAGCTATCTTACTTATCTTCTCACTGTAAAAGAAAAGTATATTAAGAAGATTTCAGATATCAACAAAGAGCTGAGGCAAGTGAGGTTTTTTTGGCTGTTATTTTGTTTTATTATATTTATGAGGAAGGGAACATGATTTATAGAAATCAAAACAAAGGCTGGTGGGTGGGCGCAGTGGCTCTCAACTGTAATTCCACCTACTCAGGAGGCAGAAAGCAGGAGGATCGAGTTTCAAGGCCAGGCGAAAATGGTTAGCAAGACCCCATCTGTACAAATGAGGCGACCTGTGGTTGGGTGCGTCTATCATTTTGGCTACTTGGTAGGCATTGGTAGGAGGATTTCCTGGCCAGCTTGGATAGAACTGTGAGACCCTACTTGAAAAGTAACTAAAGCAAAAAAGGGCTGGGGGTTGGGCTTGAGTCATAGTGCTCCTGTCTAGCAAGAGCAAGGCCTTAAGTTTAAACCCCAGTACCACAGAAAAACAAGAAAGAAAGATAGAAATGAGGTCAACTCCAGGAATCTAGAAAACCAGTGGATGGTCTCTTCAGGGTGTCTTCCCTATAGTAAATGAGCTCTGGCTATTTCTGTCTTTCTTCCTCAGGACAGTAAGAATGCTGTTGTTTGGGAGGGAACACAGCTAATTGATTGAACCTGGGTTCTGGGCTCACTCTGGGGCCAGAGCAGGGCAGGAGACCTTGTCTGACCATCCTTCCAAGGCTGCATGAACTAGGGAAGCTGTTCCCAGAAAAGAGGGCAGTGGGCTGAAGGCAGGAAAAATATTTATTGTCTAACGACTACCCCTGTGAGGATTGCTTAGGAGGTGATGCAGAGTTAGCTCCTGCATCTCCAAGGTGACCTTGAATGTCAGCACAGTGCAGATGGGCTGCAGATGGGCGGCAGAGATACATGAGCAATGTGGAGCGAGGTCTGTCCTCTCCCTTCTGCTGGATGCTCAGCACCTTAAGGATAGGGGCTAGGACTGCCTGTGATGTTTTCTTCTATCTTTGGATGATCCTGCAGGGCTGTGCACATTCTATGGAATTTTTACTGCTTCTGGAAGGATACAGAGGCCCCTTCTTGCAGGTAGATATGTGCACTGAAACTTTCCAGGCTCATCCTTCCAAGATGACTAGCCTTCTTCCTCAGTGGGGAGATTGAATTCATTTCCATTCACAGTCTGCTTACTGAGTAAAATAAGACAAACCAACCAGTGGTACACAGAAACTCATTTGCATTAGTCTCCAACTGTGAATGTGATACCTGATTGTTGGACTGAGTCAATATCATCTTCTGGATCTGGTTAATTATCTGGGCAAAAATCTCTTTGATTTACAGGTTCAAAATAACAACCAAAAAAATAAGTTGCAATCATTAAACTTACCTGGTTATATCTATCATTTTACAAATAGGGACACTGGGGCTTCAAAATGGGAAAGAAGATAGCAGATGAGTGACAGATAAGGAGCAGGACAAGAATGGGAGGCCCCTGGTTCCCCACTGCCTTCTAGTTGTTTTTATAGCTTTGTCAAGGTCACAGATCAGAATTCATCTGGTTTTCTAGCTTTCCTGACAACCTCTCAGGTCCCCTTATGATTTAGTTAACATCTGATCATCCAACCACACAGCGGGGTTCTCAGGTTCAGTGTGACAGTTTATGAAACCGCCATGAAGTCTTTCTTCTGTCCCTTGTCTACAACTCACGCTCTGATTTTATTAGTTCCCATTTTTAAATCACAAAGCATGGTTAACTCTCATTTTTTCCTTCCTCTCTTCATGTTGGAAAAAATCTTTTTTTTCTTTCTGATTAACTATGAGAAATGAAGATGAATCCTATATTCCTTATTGTCTTGGGCAAGTACCAAGAGACATAGAAGTTAGCAGTGCCAATACAAGCACCAGAGAATGCAGTTGGCAGAATCTTTCATGGTGCTGGGTGCTTGAAGTTGATTCTGAAATCCCACTAAAAGTGGTACTAACTGGGAGCTCAAGCCTGTAATCTAGCTACTTGGGAGGTTGAGTTTGGGAGGATGCCAGTTTGAGGCCAGCCTGGGTGAGACCTCCATTTCCAAAATAACCAGAGCAAAATGGACTGGAGGTGTGGCTCAAGAGGGAGAGGGCCTACTTCGCAAATGTGAAGCCCTGAGTTCAAACCCCAGCCCTGCCAAGAGGAAAAAAAAAAAAAAGTATGGAGCAAAGGCAGTATCAAGATAAAAAAGAAGACTGAATTTAGGGCACATTTATTCCCTATGTACTCTAAACTCTAAAATAACAGTGGGAAAAGAGATGCTAAAGATCGAATTGCTTTATAAATAAAAATATTGTCATAAGGCTAATAAACATAGAATCACAATCCATTTTCAAATTTGAAGAAAACATTAACCTCAGTTTTTCACTTAATCCGCAAGCTAAATAAAAATGATGCCAACGTTAACAATATCCAGGAATTAGGAAAACAAGTGCGCCTATAAAAAAAGAGCCAGGATTCGCACAGAATTTGAATTCGGAACTAACCAGTTCTCATGTTCCCTGGGAAGAATGCTAATAGCATTCACATATGAGATGGTCTGACGCATAAAGCTAAAAGGCATAAGACAGGGAGGAACTGCAGCTGGCACAGCGGCTTTGCTACAAATCAGGGGCAAACCGCCAGTTGCGACTAGGCCGGGAGCAAGCAGCCGGTTAACGCGCTTTGGAGAAATAGAAGTCGCCGTACTGACCGCCTGGCGTCCTCCACCCAAAATGACGCCGTCACGTGCGCGCGCGCGCTCTGCGGGAAGAGCGCCGGAGACGCGCACGTCCACCCGGCGGCTGCGCGCCTGCGCGAGGGCGGGCGTGCGGGGCGCGCGCGGCGGGGGTGGGCTCTGCCGAGCGCTGAGCCGCAGCCTCGGAGGCGGACGTGTCATCGAAGATGGCGGGCCGGGTGAGTGCCGGCCGGGGAAACCCAGGCTCCGGACACTAGCGCCGGGCTCGCGGGCACTGCGAGGTCCAAGCGGCCTCAGTAGGAGGGGGCGTGAGGCCTGTCAGTGGGGCACTGGGAGAGAAGGGCGGGAGGCCAGAACGGGGAGCGGTGGCGAGGGATTAGCCCTCCTCAGAAACTGCGACCCTTCGAGGCTGACCCCGTCCCCCCGGGTCTCCCGCGCCTCCCTTGCCATCCCTCGAGCTTGGGTCCCTCGTCCTCCAGGCGGCCGCAGGGTCGTGGTTCCCCCCGAGCCGGGGTGACGGTCTCTGGGGGTTCCCGCACCCCTTGGAGGGCTGCTGAGGGGCGCCGGCGGGGTGACTGCGGCAGTCGGGGCGAGGGGCGTACGGAGGATCAGCACGAGCCCATTTCTGGGTCTTCATAAATGAAAGCCTTGTGGAAGGAGGAGGAGAGGGGGTGCAAACGACTTTTAGGGTTAATCCCAGGCCAACTGGAGGACCTGTTAACTGTCGAGTCCCGGCAGGAATGGCTTTATGGATTTGAGGAGTCACGTTTTGTTTTTACAAGTGACAGCAGAATATGCTGTGGTTTGGGGGTTTTAAATTTTACTTCCTCCTTTAGTTTCTAGGATCGCGGTGTAGGATGGGTCTGGCGAGGACACGTACAGCTGGTTCGATGCTGTGTTGCAGTGTGCGTTAAGCTAAAAGCTCTCGGGATGAATCCTGCCTAGAGATTACACTAGTCGTAAACCTGGGGACATTAACTGCGTCATTAGAGACTAAAGATGTGCTTGACTGCTTCACTCATACCAGAATATCTAAATAAGTTTGCATAAATTTAGGCATATATGCAAATGTGCTGCCTAAAGGGAATTGTAGGTCATGAGATTCTACTGTCAGAAGAGACTTTAAAGGTCATCTGTCTACTTGGGCCTCTTTCTCTTTTTTTCCCTGAATAACCTCTTTTGTCTAAGGCTAGTCTCTCTGCCTATACTTCTGATTCTGTTTTTTCCCTCCTGAATAATCACCTGCTCTTTAACATACTCAAGCTTCTCCTATCTTAAAACAAATCCTCCTGCCACCCCCACACCTGTCACCTTTTCTCTCCCCCGGAAATTCTGATGGAGTTGTCTGCGTTTATTGGCTCCCATTTGCTTACCACCCACTCACTCTTCAGCCCACTGCAGTCTGATTTCTGGCTCTGTCATCTCACCCAGATGTGTCCCTAAACTAGATTGATATTTTTCAGTCCTTGTTGCACTCCGTGTTTGACATTGTTAACCACTGCTTCCTTAGTGGAGGACACTCATCCCGTGGATTCTGTGGTATTTGACTCAGACCTGGCTTATGCAGACTCACCCTCTACCCTGTCTCTCAATGCTGTTATTTCTTCTCATTTAAAACCAAGACTTCTCAAACCCAGGTTCAAATCTGAACCTATGATCTAAGCCCACCTGACTGGTACTTTTCCTGTTTCTTCTTTCACTGAAATCCAAGTTACACAGTCTGGAAACGTGGGGTGTAGGGGAGGGCGGATCACCCTTTACACTACATCCTCTGCCCCCCAGTAAAATTTATCACTGAGTTCTGTCCACCCACCACACACCAAATAAAAGGTACTTAATTAGGTCCCCAAATCATGCCTGGGATCTTTGTTGCTCTAAACCATATCCAAATAGGGAAATCACCCACTGGACTGCTTTGCCATTTTAACCTCCTTAAAATCTGTACAATCAGTCTACCTTTTTTTTTTTTTTTTTTTTTTAAATGCTGGGGCTTTGTGCATGCTGGGCAAGTGCTCTACCACTGAGCTACACATCCATTCTCAGTTTACTGGTGTGCATCTTCATTTCACTCACCCCTTACCCCTTCTTGGTCTGGACTACTCTACTGCAGTAAGCTTGTAAGTGCTCTCTTTTTGATATTCTGGCCCACTTCCAATCCAGCTTCCATACTGTTGGTCCTTCTCTTACCATTTGCCACTTAAACCCCTCCTCAGCAGCATCCCATTAGTTTTGGGAGAAGATCAAATACTTAACAAGGCCTTCAAGGCTTTTTGTGGTTTTGCCCCTGTTTTTCTCCATTCACTCCCTTATTGTCACTTCTCAGGTTACATAGCCTTTTGATTCCTTGAACCTACAGTAGTTTCTCTTACTACAAGCTCTGTGCCTGTGCTGTTTTCTTTCATTACTATGTTTTACTTTCAACCATTTACCTCCCACTCAGAGGTCACTCAGGGGAAGCCTGTTCTGACCTCACACTGTGAGGATTCTTTGCTTTACGTTATAGATTTGTCTTTTCTCATTTAAAATGTATTAGTGTTATTTGCCTTGACCAGTAGATTACTTTTCATGAAAGCGAAGACCAAGCTAGCTACTCACTCATTATCATCTGTATTTTGTACACTTCATTGGACACAGGCACTCAATATTATTACCGTTATTTTTTGTGAGACTGGGTATGGGGATCCTGTGCTCAAGCGATCCTCCAACCTTAGCTTCTCCAGTAGCTGAGACTATAGGCATATACTACTGTGCCCACCTGCTCAACACATTTTGTTGAAAATCAGTCTGATCTTCTTTTTTGTTGTGTTGTTATTTTGTTTTGTTTTTTGAGGCAGGGTCTTACTGTGTAGTCCAGGTGAGCCTCAAACTCCCTAACCTGTCTCAGCCTCAGGAGTGTTGGGATTACAGATCTGTGCTACCACACTCTGCTCAATCTAACCTCTATTTGAATAGTTGGTAACAGAGGGTTGTATGAGTCAGCTTTCCATCACTTGGACAAAATATGTGAGATAATTAACTCACGTATTTAAATTAATTTTAATAACTCAGTGTATTTCTCTGTAAAGAGAAAAGATTTATTTTAGCTCACATTTTGAAGGTTCCAGTCTGTAAATGATTGGCCCCATTGTTTTGGGCCTGTGGTAAGATAGCAGCACATCATGGCAGGAGTGTATGCAGAGCAAAGCTTCCCACCTCACCAGCCAAGGAACAAAGAGAGAAAGGAAAAGATTTGGGTTCCACATTCCCCTTTGAGAGCATGTTCCCAGTGACCTAAGTTCCTCTCACAAAGTCCCACAGAAAGGTCCACAACCCCTCCCAGCAATCCCACTCTAGGACCCAAGCCTTTACCACATGGGCCTTTGGGGGACAGTTAAACATCCGAATTACTGCAAGGGTGCATTACCCTTAAAGGCAGCCCTTTTTAGGTGTCATACAGCTCTGTTTTGTGTTGAGTTCCATGTAACTTTTACATCTAGGTATTATTTCTGCTGTTTAGAGCAGAAAGTCCTTTCCCGTGGGAAAGCTTCACAGGTATTTGAAGACAGGTTACATACTCCCTCAGATTTTTTTTTTTTTTTCTGTCTTACCATGTAGTAGTTCATGCTGGCCAGGAACTCAGAATTCTGCCTCACCCTTCTGCGTGCTGGGGTTATAGGTGTGTGCCACCAGGCTTTCCCTGAGATTTTCCAAATTGTTAAACATCCTCAGTTTTCACCTATCCTATATTTCAAACCCTGATCATTTAGGTTACTTTCTTCTGGAAATGCTCTGCTTTATCAATCTTTCTTCTGAAATGTGCCCAGAATGGAACACACAGTGATCAGAGAAGAACGTACTTGAACTAGTCTCTTGAGCTGGACACTACTATGATTAATAAAGGCTAAAATTGTTTTACCCTTTATCCTGCAGTAAATGACACTGTTTGCTCATATGGGGCTTACAGAAAAAGCTCTCATACTCTTTTAAAATCAGCTCCCCCACCCATATTCTAGGTGTTAGGCAGTTGTTCTACATATGAACTCAAGTGCATGACCTACTCCTTTGCAATTCTTTTTTAAAGTCAGGGCATGTCTGCTACTTGTTGAAGGTCTTCTTAATTCTTGCATGCTAGGAAACATAGTAGCTCTCTCTTCCAGTTTTGTTTCATCTATAGGCTTAATAATCCCTATTTCTGTGACTACATTCAAAAAGAGTAGAGTAAGACAGAGTCGAAACAGTTCTTGAGCAGGCTTTTAGCATCCCCTGCTGATCCTGATCAGTGAGTACATTGCTTAACTCCAGCTATTATCTCATTTAACTCTGTAAGATACATAGTATTGCCTTTGTTTTACTCAGAGAAAGAGGCTTAGTAACTTGCCAAGATCATGTAGCCAGCAAGAAGCAGGATCAGTACTTGAACTAGGTCAGTTACATGGTTACCTAGTTCACCAACTTGTTGCAAGGGTATAAAGAAGACTAGATTTACCTTACCAAGATCTTCTTGGCTGTTGTTGCCAAAGTTTAGATTCCAGAAGCTACCTTCTATGTTTTGGAAAATCTGAACGATTTTGGCCCACCTCTGATTGTCTACTGGTTCTTCTGAGAGCCTTAGTTTTCTAGTAACCACTTACTGATGATGTTTAGCAGATTGCATTCACTGGACTGCAACTCTTCAAATGTGTTCTGTATTTCCTTTATGTGGGAAAAAAATCTTCAAATGCGATAAAATTTAGAAAATAAAATTGAATTCTTTAAAGCACTATTAGATAGTTTCTTTCAGAAGCCCAAAGGACTTTATACTTAGAATGGGTTTATTCTGCTGGGCACCGGTGGCTCACGCCTGTAATCCTAGCTACTCAGGAGGCAGAGATCCGGAGGATTTTGGTTCGAAGTCCGCCCAGGCAAATAGTTCGAAAGATCTTATCTTGAAAATGCCCATTACAAAAATAGGGCTGGTAGAGTGGCTCAAGGTAAAGGCCTTGAGTTCAAGCCTCAGTACCACAAAAAAAAAAAAAGGAGGTTATTTTTTTTTTTCAAGTATTTAAGTTAAGGTACAAAGGTACAAGGTGAAAATATACTATTTTTACTCTTGCAAAAACATTTTTTTTGTGTGGTGCTGGAGATGGAACCTAGGGCCTTGCACATGTTAGACAAAAAAAAAAAAAAAAAAAAGTGCTTTACCATTTAGCAACATCCCCAATCCGACTATTAAAAATTCCTGAAACTGGGTATGGTGGTT